ATTGAATTTATCGCGGCTGGATGCATGCACGCAGCGATATTAACGTCGATTCGTTAGCTCCCCGTGATTTGTTGCGCCGTTTCCCCGCGATTATTTTAATGGCCGTTAATTAATGAGTTCGATTGCTAAATTCATTGGAATTTGTTTCCACCAGTTTTTCATCAAACGCCCGTTAATTAAATGTTTATCACAAGTCTTGGAGCAATTTCAAATGCCTGTTGCCTAGAAAAAATCTGATAAATGATGCGTTTACTGCAATTAAATAATACAATAGCAACCATATAAATCACGCGTACCAATCATGTACTGAATCACATTTCTGTTCCACTGAAATTTCTGTTTAACAAATGGAACATTGTCTCAATTACTACATCAATTATTTTATCAATCATTCTAGAAAACATTGTATCAAATATTCTATATCGCGTTACATTATCATAAACATTGTTCGTTTAATTAACGAGTTAAAAAACCGTAGTATCTGACGAATGCAATCTATAAAATCGAATTCATTGGATCGAGTGACGCGCGAGCTTTTAATCGAATTCATTGGTACGCGCCTTAAATTTATTCCCCATTCACCCGTCCATCCGACTGTCCGTGGGACAGACAACGAGCGCCGATAATCCGTGCGGCTCCGATAACGATAGCGCAACGAAAACGAGTGGTTCTCGCGGCGCCTATAGTAGTGTAGTAGGCGCAGACCCCGGAAGCGTGGCAAGAACGGAAGTCACGGAGGACAGCGGAAAATGATGAGTTACGGCAACCGATCCATTACCGACGAACCAACGTATTCGCTGAATACGAAATTTTCCTAGGATGATCTCGATAAATCACTCGGATCCTATCTTTCTGGGCAATTTTTTTTTATTTCTGTTCATCTTTTTCCCCTCTTCATTTGCTGGGTAGTTGGGACGGAAAGAGATAGAAGCTGTTCGTTCGTCTTCGCCGATACTTAAACGTTTAAGCCTCGATTAGATTCGACGGGAGGAATTAATGTGTCTTCCGTTTCGTTTTTTACCTTAAGTCCTCCGAAATTTACTGCTTGAAAGGAGTCTAGTGAATCCTCATCGACGTGTAATTAATGCGTTCGCTTTCTTAATTGAAATTCCTCCGATGAACGAATATAATTGATTATTTTCTGATCCCGTCCAAATATATTCATTTTTATCTTTCTTAATTTAATAATGCTTCGATCGTTTAAGTCCAAGTTACTGCTCAATCTGTTTGCAAATTTTATTCAAATAGCAAGGTCAGATATGAACTCGTTCAGGAAGATTGGCAAAGTAAAAGGATATGACTGGAAGGGTTTTGAATGCGGTGTGGGTAATCGCTTTGTTTAAGAGGTACTCGCCCGGAGAGAGGCTGAAATGTACGTAGGTAGAAATTTCTGCGGATACAGGGTTTAACCGCGTCAAAGGTATCAGGTCCGGCTTGATCCTCTCCAGAATTCTCTGGAGCTTCATTGGAGAATCACAGTACGATCGTGTTTCCTGGTGTCGGGTACAGACCATAAACAAACGCTTTCGTAAGCCTGTTCCAACGTGGGAGAGCTACACCAAAACCTGGTGAATTGTCCGCCCAGCAAAACCCACTGGCAAAATCAAATTCTACGATTGAAATTTCCCAACGACCTTTTTGAGAGCGTAAAAGACATAATAGTCATACGAGTCAAATGATGAGTTAGAAGATTTTTGACGTATAGATAGTTTTCTCGTGGTTTTAACAAATCACAATTGGTTTTTAATAGAATATGCTGGGTCTTAATTCTCATTGATTCACCGTAAAAGATATATTCTATCAGATTTATTTGGAAATGATTATGATCGGGATAGATTGGTGTTAGGTTGTTTCACGTGTCGAATTTAATAAGAAGTAATATGAAATATATCGAGTGTGAATATTGTTTCATAAGCCACACGGTCGAGGAAATTCGCCGACGTTAATATAAAAGAAGCAGTTCCCCGGAAGCGCCGATAGCGCAGAAAGAGAGAGAGAAGGAAAAAAAGGATTTTTCTCGAGTACATTTTTCCAATAACGTCGTTCCACCTCTCTTTTTGGTCTTCATAACCCGGAGGGATTTTGTCCGAGAGACGCGGGTAATCTATACACAGCATTTAGAACCGGTCAGAGACACTAGCACCGATGTTGACAGGTTATTGGCAGTTGAAGGGCTGAAAATGCCCGGTCCGGCAGTATCGGTCCCCATTTTCCAGCTTTACGATGACGACCATTGTTATTGGCATGGTGGCCCTGCCGGCGGGAAATCGTCGACGACGGGGGAGGGTGCGAGTTAAAAGAGCGAACTCTATTATCGAGCACGATAATACTCTTAATCACTCCTCTATCGGAGGGACGGAGTTCTTTTTTTAACTTTTCAATGGATCCTTCAGCCAGCTCCTTTGTTCTAATGTTTTTACCAATCTTGTTGTTGGAAAAAGTAAAATTCTCCCATCAGTCTCGTTTATTAGGTCACTGAGCGGCAGAAAGGAATTATTTTTGAATACTGAAAATCGGAACAGGTTCTACGTAAGAGAATATATTCGCTACGAAAACATCGGTTCAAGAAAATGAGATCGTATAATAATTTCTGCCTTCTGTCCAGTATTGTTGCATCTCACAGAGATGTCAAGGGGAAATGAGAAATGGGACTCGGACGGAAGACATTAGTTTTTCTCGTACATTGATCGAATACCAAGGGAACTTAAGTCCTATAAATTTTCACTAGAATCTAAACCATTTCCAATGGATTTGACAATAATCTTACTTTGATAAATGTGTTTTGCGACGGTACACTTGTACACACTATATGTAGAGTTATAGACTATCCTCCTCAGCATGTTCTCTTTATCTCTTACTTCATAGTGAAACTTAACTTATAAAAATGATACATCTCTTACTCATTTACATATTTCAATTCACCTCCAGTGAAGTATTAAATCGTACTTTCTATGTGTTCATTACAGTGAAATATTCTATCATATTTTAAGGATGTATAGGCTATACGTATACTTAAACAATGCTGGCA